TTCCATTTAAAAGACAAAGGAACTTTGCTGAAAATTTTATCATAAGTAGTTAATTTTGTCAAAAACAATTTCCCTTTCTATTTTGGGATATGTTTTTTTTTTTATTCTGCTAATATTGTGTATTATACTGACTGATTTTCACATTACACCAATCTTGCATTCTGGGGTAAGACCTACTTGGCTATAAAGTTAATCCTTTATCTAGTGTTGAATTTAATTTACTAAAGTATTAGGAATAATTTTTGTGTCTATATTCATGGATGATATTTGTTTGAAGTTTTATTTTCCTGTAATTTTCTGGTCAGGTTTTTTTGTTTCTATTATATAAATGTATTTTTTACATTTTTTAACTTACTGGTGTGTCTGCATTTAAGTCTGTTTCTGTAGAGCATCGTATAGTCAGAGTTTGCTTTGTTATTCAACCTGACAGTCCCTGAATTTTAATTGTTTTACACGATTTATTATTAGTATAATTATTCATACAATTGTATTTAAATCTATTCATCCTGGAGCTAGGCATGTATGTAGCTCAGTGGCAGAGCACATACTTAACATACAAAAGGCCTTAGATTCAACTCTCAGTACCACAAACTCTTTTTGTATTAATCTGTTATTTTGCTAACTGTATTTTATTTGTCCCATTTATTATTTGTTCCCTTTCTGATTATTTTTTATGATTCCATTTTATCTCCATAACTGGCTATTATTATGACTCCTCTGTTTTCATGTTTTTTTCTAGAGTTTACATCGTTAAGTTATTTGTCTACCTTTAAACATTATTGGACCACTTTATGAATAACGTAAAAACTTTGTAACAGCAAACTTCCGTCTCCTCCTTCTGTTCTTTAGGCTACTACTGTCATGTATTTCTATTTTTGCTACAATTAATTACCTTGGTAAATGATCACTAAATCTGGTTCTATTGATTATTTTTTTATTTTCTCTTATGTCCTACCATTTCCAATGCTCTTCATTTGTACAGGACCAGATTTTCACTGGGAATCATGTTCTGTCTGGAGAACTTCCTTTAAATAAAAATGTCTTACTCTAGATCTGCTTGTCTAAACAAATATTTTGCCGTAAATTTTGAATGCTGTTTCCTAGGTTGACAAATTTTCTTCTCAATTCTCATCTCTGTTTTTCCTTATGAAAAGTTTTTATTTTTCTTCTGGCCTTTTAAAGAGTTTATCTTTGGATTTCAGCAGCATGATTATAATGTGTCCGGATACATAGTATGAGTGTGTGTGTGTGTGCCTGTGTAGTATTTTCCTGCTTGAAGTCCCCTGAGTCCTTTGAATCTCTAATTTGATATTCATCAATAATTTTTGTATAATTAATTGCCATGGCTTCTTTAAATATTCCTTCTGCCTCCTTTTCTTCTGTGATTCTAGTAAACTATTTGTCACAAAATTTGGCATCATGCTATATCACTGTATGTATGTATTTTTTACTCTTCTGTCTTTTCATGTTTAGTTTTAGGTAATTACTATAGACCTATAAGTTAACTGAATCATTCTTCAGCATTATTTACTTTGCTCAGAAGTCTAAGGCATTTTTAATTCCTAATATTGTATACTATTTGGCTTTTCCAGTTGATTCTTATTTAAAGCTTCTATTTCTACCTATGTCTTGCCTCTCTTCATTCATGCTGTTTTTCTTTCTCACTAGATACTTCAACAACATATATATATATATATTTTATTGATTGTTCAAAACATTACAGAGCTCATGATATATCATCTTTCATACATTTGACTCAATTGGGTTTTGAACTCACATTTCTACCCCAAATACAGATTACAGAATCACATCTGTTCATATATAGTTATTTTAAAGTTTGTGTCTTATAATTGCAACTTCTGTCTCATCACTAAATCTGATTCTGTTGATTACTTTGTCTTTTGAAAACAAAATGTTCTTTTCCTTTTTCCTTCCTTCTTTCCTCCCACCATTTTTCTTTTCTTCTGTGTTTGCCTTGTAATTTCTGACCATGTACCAGGCACAGTGAGTGGAAGCACAGCAAAGAATGAGATAAACAGTGTTTATACCAGAAAAGAACTGGTTCCTTCTAAAAGGCCATCAGTGTCTATCAGGCCATCATAGTTAAACTGGACATTGGTGATATTATTGTTATCTTATGTACCACAGACTTTTAATCCTTTCAGTATTGAGGTGCCTTTACCTTTCACTGAGTGGGGGGTTATTACAGTGCAGTGCTGGAAGATTATCCTCAGTGTCACTACTCCACAGCAACCATTGTACATCTATATTATAGAGGGGATCTCTCTGTATACTCCTGTATCTTCCCCAGTGCCACACTGCTGTTGCTTGTTATTCAATGTACGCTCATTTTGGGGCCAAGGTGGATCTTAGTCTCCTTTGTCTTAGGCAAGGTCTATGTGCCTCTTCTTGAATGGGATTGAATACAGATGGATAAGCTTTCTCTTCCTCCCACCTATGACTGTTGGACTCTGCCATGAAAGTATGGTGGTTCTTGGGCAGAGGGATTTTTCTGCTGCTCTGTACTATATTTGTATTGGTTCAACATCTTAGACTCAAGAGAATTTTTGTCTCTATTCATTGAGAATCAGTGTGCATTTGCCTGTCTCCTGGTGGAGCGAAGGACTTATCCAGAATCAGACGGGTTGTTTGGTTCTTCCCTTTCCACAGAGGCCCTGTAAATGCAAAGGCTTACTGTTGTTCCCCCAGTAATTTATAACTATTGCTTCATATAAGAGGTATCCAGGGTCTCAGGCCTATTACCCAGAAGCAGTCACCTCCTTTTGCTAACATTACTGATGAGAAGAAAAGAGGAGCTCTCTGGTTTTCTTCCCTGCTCAATTTTTCTCATATCTGGTACAGACCACTGGAAAAGAGCTTGCAAGTGAAAAAGAGTTCTCATTGTGTTCAGAGCTCCCAGTTATTCTCAACTGGTATGCTAACCCACACTTGAACTTTTGAGAATTATGAAATTTTTAGTTATGTCTTCTTTCTGTGGCAGCCACCTTTTCCTTCATACTCTGTCAATGGTAAAACAGTTTGTGTGCATCAACTTTCCCTAGAGGGGCTTGTTATACTTTGAAATTAAGATTCCTTGTGTTTATGACCTCAGTGCTCTGATAAATTTTCAGAGTTGAGATTTTTGTAGGCTATCTATATTTCTCTTATAAAGATTTTTTAGGCTTATATTTTGTAGATCTTTGCCTTTTCACTGTTATAGTAATCCATTTTTATTATGTGTTTTATAAAAGCATGGCTAGGAGAGGAGTGGAGTGGTGCACACTTGTAATCCCAGCTATTCAGGAGGCTAAGGCAAGAGGATCCAGAGTTTGAGGCCAGCTTGGGCAATTTAGTGGAAATTCCCATCTCAAAAAACAATAACCACAAAAAAAAACAAAAACAAAAACAAAAAAAACAGGCTCTGTGATGGACTGCAAAAACAATAAAACTGGTTATTGCCAAGTCAGTGAAAAGCATTGTTCTAATGCATAAAATGGTTATCAAAAGATGTCTAGCCTCTTGGTATCATGAAAATTGTTCAGCTAGAGAAAGCTGACTGTGAAACTCACAGCATATTTTAGATACCACAAAAAGTTCATACTAATTCACATTTTGCAAGGAGTCAGATAATAAAGGTGGTTAATAAAATATTTCTGCTTCCAAATATTTATTCTGTAGTCTGTTATATTTGGCACTAATTTTCTCCTTTTCTTAAACAGATTCATAGAATTTGTCTTAACATTTTCCTGATAAAAGGATTAATTATTTAGAAATCTTGCAAAATATCCCAGATTATCTCTGGAAAAGGCACATGAAAATAAAACATAAAATCTACTAATCTCCAAAGATATCAATTAAATGGAGGCATAGAAATTCATTCTTGGAAGCCACTTAAAAACTATATGTCTAATTTCCCTTTCTAAAAAGTTTAGAAGGCATAATTATGCTTTCTTGTGACACTTTTATTATGAACTTACCACTTTTTCATTATTTTTGTCTGTCTTTTCCACTCAAATAGTAATATCTCAAGGACAATTTTCAGTGCATTGTTGCACTTCTTAGTGTTTGGCATGGTTCTTGGTATATGGCAGGTTCTTAAGAAACAGAGTGAATGAACAAATGAATAGATCTAATAATGGTTCTGCCTAGTTCTTTCTGGTATGCTTTTCCTATGGGCTATATTCTGTTCTCTTTTCCTTCTTCCCTCAATTCCCATTACTTTTTCACTAAGATATATAAATAGATCTCATAGAATCTATATATACCAGCTTCTGTCTGGCTTCTAAGAACCCACTACTATTTGAAAACACTGCTGGCAGCTCTACTTGCACCCTTAATAGCAACGTTAGGGCTGAGTTAGCTCTAGTCCTGTGGAAGGCCTGGAAGCTTGTTTGTGTAGGTGGCTAACCTTTATAGTCAGGTAAGTTTCTGGTAGCCACCTCAGGGCCTGGAGGAGTGGATTTCTGTCTAAACCTGGCTTATTATTCATTCCTTTGGTTATATGTAGACAGAGATTCATATACTTCAATCTTGAGCATCACTGAGTCACAAAAGGCACTTCATCTTATGCAAATATATATTACTTATTATTTAGGTTTCCATATGCTGTGGTCAACCTTTCATAGATGTATAAGAGGCTACTGAAGGCTGAAACTATGATCTTTTTTCCTTCTTGAATCTTTCAAAATTCCTAATACAATGATATGCCCAGAATACAATATTTGCTGAAAAAAAGAAAAAAATGAGTTGATTTCCATATTGAAAACTTTTCATAAATCCATTCCATTGGTTATATCAATCTACATTTATACTTGCTTTTTCCCCAATAACTCATTTTTACTTCCTCATATACCTCTGCATTCTAATAAGGAAAAACTTGAAAGGTGTATCTTGAATGGTAATAGCTGATAATCCAGATAGAACAAATAAGGTTCCTATTTTCTCTAAACCATGAATTAAATAATCTGTTTCCATAGATTTTAAAGAAAAGAAATACTTACCCAGCCTTAGCAACACTTATGGTTTGTTGTTCCATTGCTTCGTGGATGCTGGTTCTATCGTGTTCTTTAAGGCTGTTAAACTCATCGATACAGCAAAGGCCTGCATCTGCAAGTACTAATGCCCCAGCCTCCAAATTCCATTCTCCTGAGTCCTTTACAGCAGTTACCGTCAGACCTAAGGAAAAAAGGAAGCTGTCAGCTTTTATTTTCAAAAGTATGTCTCATACCTATAAAGGAAAAAATGCCTTCATATTAAGAGAAAGGTGTAGAACCAAGGATTTTATTTGTAGTCTACCAAAAATGGATGGCATTAGGACAATTACTTCAAGTACCAGGCAGTAGAAGGCCCCAGAAGTTCTTATGTTCTGGAAAATATTCAGGATGTTATTGTAACTAGAAGTCCCCAAATTTTCTGTATCTCCTTTTAGGTGCCCTGACTGAGTGCTCTACTATTGGAAGAATCAAATAGATCTCCAGAGATCTTATGACAAGACGGTCCATATATGCTATTTATAGAGAAGGGTCTGATTATAGAGAACAGGAATTATTACATGAATATGTATACATTTGTTAAAACCTACAAATCATAAACACCAAGAGTGAACCCTAATGTAAATCATGGACTTGATTAATAATGATGTGTATCAATGTAGGTTCCTGAACTCTAATAAATGTTTCTCTCTAAAACTTGAGTTGTGTATGTATGGAGAAGTGGTATGGAAGGAACAAGGCATTCATGGGAACTCTATTTTCTGCTGTTTTGTTACAAACTTTAATATACTGTAAACAACAAACTTTATTAATTAAAGAAAAAAATTGTGGCAGCTAGGCAAAGATTTCATATACATAATATTATACAGTATACAAAGAAAAATGATAACTTGATTTTCACCAAAATAAACAATATTTGTTCTTCCAAAAACAATGTTAAGAAAATGTGAAAGGCAAGAATTTAAATGTGAGAGAAAATAACTTTAAATTCTGTCTTATTAAATGACATGTATACAGAGTATAGAAAGAATTCAAGAAACTCCATAAGAAGTAAATAGGAAAAAAAAAAAGACCAATAAAAAATGGGCAGAGTTGGGGATAAAGCTCAGTTGGCAGAGTGCTTACCTTGCATGCACAAGGCCCTAGGTTCAATCCCCAGAACCACAGGGGAAAAAAAAATGGGGGCAAAAGATTTGACCAGATTTTTTACCATAGAAAATAAACACACAGCAAATAAATATGTGACAGATGTTAAACATATGCTCTCTTCTGACAGTGCAGGCCTTGTGACTGCCCTAACCAATATGGTTAAAGCAATGCTCTGTGATTTTCAAGGCTGGATCATAAAAATGCCATGCATTTCTGCCTTGTTTTCTTGGAACACTAGGTTTTGGAACCAAGCAATTATGTTATGAAAAAACTAAAAGCAACCCAGATAGAGGACTTTCTGAACAGAAAGTGAGACCTAGGACCTATATCCCTGGGTGCGCTACCAACCTATAGCCAGTACCAAGGTGGCAGCTATGAGTGAGCTATCTTGAAAGTAGTCCTCCAGCCTCTAGTTGAGTTATGTTGGCTGATGTACAAGGGAAGAGAGAAAACCTGTCTTAGTTGAGACTTGCTTGAATTGCAGATTTGCAAACAAAAAATAAGCTTCTGGATTTTGGAGTGTTTTTTTTCACTCAAGCACTGAACAACCTAACCAAAGCCAATAGAAGAAAGACCAACAATTTAATGGAAAAACCATGAAGAGACTTAAAAAGGTATTACACAAAAGAAAAATCCTTACAGTCAATAAATATATAACATGGTGCTTACTCTCATGAGTAATGAGAGTACTTCAAATTAAAGCCATAATGTGATATCATTACATACCCACAGATATGGCTAATATCTAAAAATCAATTCTCACATGCTGCTAATGGAAGTAATAACAGACACAACTACTTTGAAAAAGAGTTCTTGACAATATCCAACACATTGTGATTATATATATTCAGAAATTCTACTGCTAGGTCTATTCTCTAAAGGTGTATGATTGTGTGTACCCAGGGACAGATGTGTATAAGAACACTCATAATTCTTAACATATACATAATTCTCACAAATTCTTCTTGGATAGTTAAACCTAGAAACTGAAGAGTCCACCAACCAGTAGAACAGATAAATAAATTGTGTTACATTCATACTATGGAATATAATGCACAACAATGCAAAACAAAATACAGCTAAACACAACATATATGAAACAATGAAATAATATTGAGCAAAAATATAATTTGGTTAATATAAAGGGAAATAAAACCCAAACAGGCAAAAAAAAATTGTGTTAACAAGCTAACAGACCTACTCTACAAGAGATTTTATGGGGAGTCTTTCAGGCAGACATGAAAGGATACTAAGACAATAAATCAATTCTAATCTATGAAATAAAAAGCACTAATAAATATAATTTCTTGTTGTTGTTTTTGTGATGCTGGAGACTGAACCCGGGCCCCTGCATGTGCTTAAGCATACACTCTACCACTGAGCTATGCCCTCAGCCCCTAAAGGTAACTTTTATGTATATGAAAAAGAGTATAAAACATAATTTTGCTTGTAACTCTTTTCTTCTCTTAGCTGATTTTACAGAATATTAAGTTTATAAAACATGTTAATTGCTTTACAAAAGATAATAATTTGTATGGATAATAAAGGAAGATGGAGGGAATGGAATTATTTACTAACTGAGTATTTTATACAATAAAGTACTGAAGGAATACAAGAATGAAGAGACATTTGTAGAAAACAAAAAGAGGAAAATGGCATAAATATGTACTTTATTAGTAATCACACTAAATGTAGACACACTAAATGTGTCAGTGAAAACAAAAAGGTTGGTTTAAAATAAAATATGATCCAACTACATGCTATCTATAAGATATACTTTCGACAATCTCATTCAAACAGTAACCAAGAGAAGATTGCAGTAGCTATGCTAATATAATACAAAATATTTTAATACAATCTTACAAAAATGTTACTTCAAGAACTGCATTCACAAATGAAGATATAATTACAGTGGGCTCTATACTAGTTAAACTATGATATATAGGCAAAATCTACCCTAGTCACCTATTTTTGTAAATGTAGTTTTCCTGGAATACAATCATGCTAATTTGTTTAGTACTTTCTATAGTTGCTTTCACACTACAAAGGCAGAGTTCAGTAGTAGTGATAGATAGACATTATCTGGCCATCCCAAACTAGAATATTTATATCTGGCCTTTTACAGACAAAAGATGCCAACTTTTTTTTTAAACATTTTTTTTTAGTTGTAGATAGACACAATATCTTTATTTTATTTATTTTTATGTGGTGCTGAGGATTGAACCCAGTAGCTCAGATGTACTAGGCAAGCGCTCTATAACTGAGCCCCAAGGATGCCAACTTCTGATGTAAAGTGCTAATTTCTACTTTGGGACATCACACTTTAAAAGAGATACTAATTACATCAGAGAAGGGTAATGAGATAATGGTGAACATGTAAAGAATACCATTTAAAAACAGTTTTAAGCCGGGCTCTATGGTGCTCACCTGTAATTCCAGCTACTTGAGAGGCTGAGGCAAGAGGATCCAATAAAGTAACTATTCAAGAAAAGGTAGAATGTGCACTTGACAGTGTAAAAAGGTATTTATGCAGTGAATAGGTAACCACTTAAAGGACTAAAAGTTCTAATAAAAAACTACAAGTTTTCAACTCTATGATTCTTAGAAATATACAAGGGCTCTTCCACTCTCTGTAATCTGGGTCAGAGATAATTACAAACTAGGACACCTAAGTATTTTAGCCCACTTAATTAATTTCTTGAATCCCAGTGATAGAAGGGAAAAAATGTTAACTTTGCCTTTTCAGAGGGAAGAAGGGAGAAAGAAATATTATTTATAGTGCTTAAAAGGTGATTATATTTAGGAAATCTTTCCTTATAAATGTTGGGTTTGTAGGAATAGGGAAGGCAGTAGAAGGCAGCCAGGGGGCAGAATGGTAAGCCCAATTCATTCTTGCTTCTTAGAGATTTGTGTGTTCAACAATTCAGCCAGCATTTATTGTTAATATCAAAGAATATGCTGATGAAGGCAGCATAATGTGCTCAAATACTTTGTTGGTCAGGGATTAAATCTAGCTATATAATAATGTTTAATTATAAACTTGGAACTCCCCTGAACCCACCCTTTCCAATCCTGCCCCCTCGCCCAACCAGATACTTTACATCTCCTTCCTCCCCCACACTTTCTTTTTAATTTCCCAACTAGAACTTCCAATCGATATACACTTACATATAAATATCCTTTAAAAAGCACAGCTGTCATGGGAAGTTATAAAAATTGAAATTGCTCAATTAAGTGTTTGGCAATTTGGGCAGAAAAATTAACAAAGGATAACAATAGCACTTATCTTCATGTTGACTTGTGGTGTGTATGTATCCTAAGGTAACGCTCAGTGGGTCAATGAAATTTATTGTATAAATATTACATTTCCTTCATGATGATATGGAACTGCTGGCCCATTCTAATAAGATTCCTTAAGAACACAATGGGTGGAACGGTTATTCCGTTTATCAGAAGTTATTGGTAAACCAGTTAGAACATCTACACTTAGAACAACTGAACAATAAAAAGGGAGCTAATCACATCATGGCATCACTTCCGGAATGGCCTTGTAAGAAGCTCCACAGACATGCTCCAGTAAAACCAGCGTAACTGGAAATTATTTTTAATAACCCAACCAGTTACAGTTTTTAGAACACAGTGTAAACACACACACACACACACACACACACACACACACACAAACATATTTACTCAAAAAATCTTGATAAGAATAGCAGGAGTTTATGACACTTAAATCACAATCTGCACCCCCCCCCCAGCGTTTAGCTGGATAAAAGCCTCACAATGGATGGGTGTAGTCAATAAGAGGGGCTCTGTATCACCTCAGTCTGAACAAGGGATAATATATCTCACCAGAAAAGTTAGATAGCATTTTTTATCTACTCAACTCTGATAATACAGGCTAAATCCCTGATTGCCAAGAGATCAGGGACCTTCCTTCTTCCTGTACTCTATCACAACCCACAGATCTAGGTGTGACATACAAAAATACAGGGACAGGGGTTCCACTTAAGTTCAATTCAGCTCACTCTCAGGGTGAATATTCTAGTCCTGAAAAGGCAAAGCTAATAAGAGCAGAGACTACCATTCCTACCCAGAGCCTGGGACAGAGGCTCAGAGAGTTTGACCAGGTGGAGAGGCTACTAGGATTTGGATGATTTAAGTATATGCCCAAAGGGTTCATGTGTTGGAAGCTTGGTCCCCGATGTGGTAGTGTTAGGAGGTGGTATGAAGCATTTAAGAGGTGCAAGATAACTGGGTCACTGAGGGCACAGACCTTGGAAAGAACTGATAACAGTTTTTGTGGGACATTGGTTAATTCCTGTGAGAGGGCTATTTTTATAATAGCAAGACTGGCCCCTCCATGATCTTTTCCTGGTTTCTTACATATGATCTCTCCCACTTGTACATGCTCTTACTATGCCATTCACCATAATATGATTCAGCCAACAGGGGTGAATAACCAGAGTGAGCATCATGATCTTTGGACTATGAATCTCCAAAACTGTGAGATATATAAATCCCTTTTCTTTATACATTATCCAGTCTTAAGAATTTTGTTATAGTCATGGAAAACTGACTCATACTATACAGACAGTATAGTATCAGATACAAAAACTAAAAACTCCAAAGTTCTCCCTAAAAAAAACTGATTTTATTTGGAATACAGTGCAGGGAAGTGACTGCCTACTCAAAATTTTGAAGAAAATAAGAAGGAGGA